ACCTTCTGGGATTTCTGAAGGTCCTCTGTTAAGCCTGAGGTCTCTGGGAGCATTTTTGAGATACCAGGGAGCAGGCAAGAGAGGAAAAGGGGCTGGTGAGGAATTGGGAAAAGAGGAAGGCCAGAGAGGGAAGACAGTGAGACAGAGAGAGACGGTGGGGGTGGAGGTGGGGAGGACAGGTGAGAGGGAGTCCCCGACCCCAGGAATCTATGTAATTCAACCTATCTCACAGTATGCGGCCGAGAGGGGAGCCATCTCTGTGGTCTGGCTAACTGGAACAACCTCAGCTCCCTCCTGGAGAAAGTAGAGCTCCATGTTCCCCACCAATGACATTTCACAGGACTAAGCCAGGTGGGTGACTTGGGAGCTGCTCTGGGCCTCTCCTGTGCACATATAGAGGTACAGAACTCGTGGCAGCTTCCTGCCACCTCCTGGCTCCAGGATGCACCTTGCCTGCCCCATAAACCTGGGGGTACCCCCTAGGTCACATCTTTTGTTTCTGCTCCTCTCTCTCTCCATGTGTCTTCTCTCATTTCCGGCCTCTGCAGATTCTTCCAAACTGTGTATCCAGCCCTGCCTTCTCTCCTCAGCACCACAACCCTCTTGCTGGAAGCCTCTGCCCACCAGATTAGGTGCTCCTTCAAACAGCCTTGGAAAGCCACCTGCCTCGCCTGGGGGCATGCTCACCTTCTTGGGATACCAGACATCTGGGGAGAAGATGACCCAACAGTACATGTCCAGGGCTCAACCTCAGCCTCTTCCCTCTCCAGCATACCAGGTTCCCCTCTGTGCACCCCCATTTCTGCCATGGATTTCCCCCCCATCCCTCTCATTTAATGCCTCCAGCTCTCCCTCAGCTCAGCTGTTGCCTGGATTACTACAATGGTCTCCTAATGGGGCTGCTGGACTCCAGTCTGCGTCCCCTAAGCCCACTTCCACATTGCCAAGGGGTAAATCTGACCAAGCCACCACCCATCTTCTCATTCACCTCTCCACGTGGCTTCTCAGGGGAAGCTGCACCCCGTGGCTTGGCACAACAGCCGCCAAGACCTGCTCCTGCTTATTTCTCCCGCACTGCCTCCCAGCATGGCCTAGCCCAGGGTACCCATGCCAGACTCCCCCAAGCACCACATGTTGTCCATTCCTTGGTGTCCTAGGAGCCTTCCCACTTTCACTTGCCTGGCTGATTGCTCCCCCCAGGCAGGCTGGGCATCCTCTCTGCCAGCCCTCCAGCTCTGTGCACCCTCATCTCTGCTGTCTTCTGCAGTGCATGCTGCATTTCTTGCTGGCAAAGCCAGCACCCAACTCTCCTCTACCTCCTGGCAGCAGCCAGCCAGCACCTGGCCCCTTGGGCTAGGTTAGAAAGTACTTGTTGGGTTGAAGAAGGAATATCCACTCCACATCTCCTGTGTATTTTGCATTTTAAGCAACAAACGCTTTTTTCAAAATTAAAGTACACATTAAAAAAAATAATAAACCAAGTACACACTTTAAATGGGGATTCAGTTCTAAATTCAATAGGTGAAGCAAAAATCACACAGTCAACACTGCCCTGGAAAGGTCCACAAGGCCCATGATATCTGATTTGGGTTCACCATCCTCTTTCCCAAAGGGTTTAGCAGAGACGACTTTTTCTCACAGCCTCCGAACAGATCCTAATTTCTTGAGCTGAGCAGCAGCAGATAAACTAGTTGACTTATTTAGGAACCATGTTTTATTAAAAATGCGTTGATATTTTACATATATTTTGCTGTTGATCTTCTTTAACCAAATACGTATGGTTATGTCCACAAAAATTAAGCGCACACATTTATGTACTAATTTTTTTTAATGACTATGAGGCAGATGCTTCTGCCTGGTAACTTCACCCCAGGTCCCACCACCCTCCTGATTTTCCACACACAATGGCCTGTTCTAGCCAGGGAGCTGCCCTGAGACCCTTGGTTCTTATAACAACAGAGAAGGGACCTTTCAAGAGCCTGGCTATGTGACAACAGGCCAGGCAACTCAGAATTAAGTAGCCCCCATTTGGTGAGTTGAACTGGGTCTGTCCACAGAGAGATGAGGAACACTGTAGTGGCCCGGGCCTGGGCCACTTCCTGGGAGAGGAGTGAAGTCCCCCAAGGACAGGCCTGCCCGAGCTAGAAGAAGCCGCCAGTCTTAAGAAAACCGAAGAGAAAAAGTAGTCTAGGAGGGGGAACAGCAAATGAAGTCCTTCCACTGTTGCAGCAAAACCAGAAAGGCCGGTAGTGGAGGGGAATGTGGGAAGAAAATGATGGCAAAAGGGAGTAGGGGGCAGTAACCAGACCTGGAAGACCCTGGCGGTGACCAGGCTCTACCGTGTGGCAGCTTGGAGAAGGTTCTAAGAGAGAGAGGGTTTTGATTTAAATTTTATTTTTTTTATTTATTTATTTTTTTTTAACGTGTATTTATTTTTGGGATAGAGAGAGACAGAGCATGAACGGGGAAGGGGCAGAGAGAGAGAGGGAGACACAGAATCGGAAACAGGCTCCAGGCTCCGAGCCATCAGCCCAGAGCCCGACGCGGGGCTCGAACTCCCGGACCGCGAGATCGTGACCTGGCTGAAGTCGGCCGCTCAACCGACTGCGCCACCCAGGCGCCCCTTGATTTAAATTTTAAAAGATGTTTCTGATAAATGCTTATTGCTAGTATCTGCTGAAGTGAAAAAAATAGGTCTTATTGTAGCGTGTTTTTTGTTTGTTTGTTTGTTTGTATTTTAATAGAGATAGAACACAAGCAGGGGAGAGGGGCAGAGAGAGAGAATCTTTATCAGGCTCCATGCTTAGCGTGGAGCTAAACTCAGGGCTCACTCTCACGACCCTGGGATCATGACCAGAGCTGAAATCAAGAATTGGTAGCCCAATCAACTGAGCCTCCCCAGGGCCCCTATCTTACTTACTAAGTAAGTAAGTGAAAAGAGTGCATGTTTTCACTTGCATTCTTATTGAGGGAGGTAGAGCATCTTGTCACATGTTTAAGTGTCATTTCACGTGTGTGGACTGTTTATGATCTTTATCCAGTTTTGGTCTTTTGCTTATTGACATGAGGAACATTTTACATATTAAAGAGATGAGCCCTTTGGATAGGAGTAATAATTCTCCCCCTACTTTGACTTTTGACTATTTATGGTGATTTCTTTCCTGTGCAGAGTTTCTTTTCATATCATTGAATTTATCAGTCTTTGAAATAAAATAGAAATGCAAACTGGAGAGATATTTGAGTGGAAAGGCCAGCAAGTTGAATGTTGTTTGCTTCTTGCCAAAGGTGGCTTAAAGTACTTTTATTACTACTTTTTAAGGAAGTTTTAAAAATTGAATCAATGAGAAAGTATGTGTTTCAGAGGAATATGCCCTTGTGTAAAGCTTGCTTATATCATGCTACTGACACTTTTTGTCTTTCTGCAAACTCCATTAATCTGCAGAGCTTTAAAAACAAATGAAGGTTTTGCAGGATGAGAAGAGGTTCCCCCATCAGCCTGACAGAAGGGGCAGAATATGTCTGGAGGAGAGAGGTGAGAAGGTGGGGAAACAGAGATGGAGAGACTGAGAGAGATTTAGTACATTGATCTCTTCTTATGCTGCGGTGACCGGCCGGGAAGAGGGTGGGCAGATCCTGGATCTTCCTTTTAACAGCGTTTCCCTGAGGCTCAGGCATAACATTTCACGTCTTCCGGATTTAGGCTCATCAGATTGCGGGGAGGGCAGAAGGTGGGTGGAAAGATGGGGGCTCAGATTCCTAGAGAGGAGAGAACTCCTTTCTTCACAACCCCCCACCCCCAACCGCCCCCGGAGGAGGATAGGGCAGAGGAAGAAACTAAACTGGGAGAGATTAGAGTACTTGCCCAAGGTCACACGGAGGGCTGATGGTGGAGGCGGAATTCGAACTCTAGCCTATCTCCAGAGCCCAGAACTCTCCGCCTCTTGGTGACAGCGGTACAAAACTGCCCTCCCCTCCTTTCCAGTCCGCAATAGTCCACGGTCGGCCATTAGGGAGGCTGGATAGGTCACTTTCTCAGCTTATCCCACCAGAGAGAGGTCCCGGGCTTGGTGTCCCCTCCTGGCTCGGAGCCCGTGGCGCGTCCTGCGCTACCCGAGCAGCCACATTTGCCGCGCTCCAGGCTCTGGCCTCCTCCCGCCTTCCTAGACCCCACCTCCTACCCTTATCCGTGACTCGCAGAGCTCGCGACCCCTTCCCTTCCCTTCCCTTCCTGAGCATCACCAAGTTTGTCTCCAGGCAAGGCCAGAAACTGGCCCCGAGCAGCGAGCAGCGCTCTCTTACCCCAGCGTCTAGAGTAAACGATAACAACAGACACCACTTCCTCACAGCCTACTGCGTGCCAGGCCCTTAATTTCCACCGCTCCGAATCCCCCGACCCCGCCCAGACCCCCACAATCTATTCAGTCCCCGTTAAATAGACGAGGGAGCTGCTACAGCTCCGGAAAGTTGTGACACGCTTGGGCTCACCCAGCTAATAATAATGTAGCTAGTAGCATTTGCCTGAGTACTTCCTCTGTGCCAGGCACGGGTCTACGGGCGTTACAGGCACCACCTCGTAGATCCTACCAATACTCCTATAAAATACGTACCATGACCATCCCCATCCTACGGATGAGGAAACTGAGGTTTGGCTCCTTGCCCAAGGTCACCCAGCCAGTGAATGACGGATCTTGGACCCAAACCCAGGCAGGGTGACTCGGGGGGACAGTTTTTCGTGCTGTCTCCATTACAGAGAAGCGGCAGGCTTCGAACCTACGGCAAGAGGGGCCAGCCCCAAACGCCCCAAAGGCTGAGCGCAAAACCAAACCAGCTGGGACCGCCACAGCCTGCAGAGAGGAATTCCCGGGAACCCGAACAGGACCCGTGCCAGGAGCTCCCGCTGTGGTGAGTGCCTGCCCGCACGAGGTCCGCGCTGCCAGATCTTGGCTCCCGGCTCCAGCGCGCCCAAGGGCGCCCCTCGCCAGAAGCTGGACAATACTCACCATAAAAGAGAGGGCGAGCGCCTGCCGGGAGGAATCGCCAGCGCTGGCAGGTCCTGCACTCCCTGAAGAGGCGTCTGCCGCCGCCGCCGCCGCCCACTCAGGGGCGCCCGAGGAACCTCGAAGATGCCGGCTGGCTCCCCAGGGCCAGGGGCGCGTCCTCACGGCCGGTGCCCAGCAGCAGCGCCCCCTCTGCCCGGCAGGGTGGCCTGGAGTTGGAGCGTTCTTGGGGAAGTTGGCGCTCGGGCGCGGCGGGAGGGCGCGAGAGGTCGGGTGGGAGTGGGGCAGTGCCTTCCTGCGCGGATTCCGGGGACGCGCCAAGGCCCGCGCGCTAGCCGTTCCGAAGCTCCGCGCCTGACCCGGAGGGCGGCGAGTCCCGAGCTCAGGGCTCAGGGCTCACGGCCCGCGCCTCGGCCGCTGGCCCCTGGCGCGCCCTGCGTCTTCCCCGGCGCCCTGGGCGCACGTCTCGGTAGTTGGAGCTGGGGTCCTGGCCCAGGCTGCGGTGTGCTCATCGCCTTCCCCAGGGGCTGGGCGCCTTTGTGCGCGGGGCGCGCCGGCCGCCGCGGCCAGCTCTGGATGCTGCAGCCGCCGCCGCCTCCCCCTCCTCCTCCTCCGCCGCCGCCCGCTCCCCGCCTTCCCGGCCGGCCCGGAGGCTGCAGCTGAAAGCCGATCCGGCTGAGCTCATCCCTGAAGGCCACTAATCCAATAGCCGCGGAAGGCGCGGCCGCCGGGAACGCCCCTTCCCCCACCATCCCGCGCCCCGGCCCGTCCCAGCTCGGGCCGCTGCCGGCGCCGCCACCTTCCCGAGGCCACCAGCTGGCGGGAGAGGGAAGTGGAGCCCGCGCCCGCGCCCCCGTGCCGAGTCGGCGCGGTCGCCATTCACCCGCCCGCTCACCCGCGCACTCCCTCACTCCCGCACTCATTCATGTGCACGGGTCCTGCCCCATTCATTCAAGCGCGCGGGGAGCTCCAGGGTGGGTGCCCCTGAGAGGGAGGAGACACCCTCGGTCACTCGGCAGCTTTGGTGTCTCTACCCAGCGCACGTGGGAAGTAGCAGCCTGGAAAAGAGGATGGCTTAATAGCCTCTTCCTCAGACACGTGTCCACACTTTATTTTTAAAGAGCAGGCTTCAGCTCGTCTTTAAATCCCAATTTCACACTGCACCTGCTTCGCGGAGCCTTCCCCACCCACCCGAGGCTCAGGGAGATGGGTCTCTCTGCTGTACCGGCCCCTAGAGCTGATGGTGGGCAGCCTCCTCCCCAGCCAGAGCGGAGACCTAAGGCAGAGGGCGTGGCCAGAGAGAAGGCCAAGGGGGTGCTTCCTTGGGGAAATTGAAAGTTCCTGGTCTGGGTGTCCTAGTCTCTGCTCCCGGGGTTGACTTCAGTTCCATTCCACAGTCATTTGGTCTGATCCCCGTTCTCTCTGTGCCAGGCACCAAAGAGCCTAAATGCAACAAGCGCCGGTTCATCAAAAACACAGACAGGTAAAGACCATTCAAACCAGTGAGGGAAATGTTTTGATGGAGGATCTGGAGCTCCTTTCCCGGGCTGGGAAGGGCAGTCTGGGAATGTTTCCTGGTGAAGGTAGTTACAAGAATTAGCTCCTGGAGGCAGACGGACGGGATGATCGCCTAGCTAAGTACCCACCCCAGCACAGAGCATGACTGGTGTGTGAGCAGAAGGTGGTTAAGACAAAGCTGGAGGGACAGACAGTGGTTAGGCTGCTTGAGGGTAGCCGACTCACTCCCACAGTGAGTAGACAGCCAGAGCTGTCTTCCTAAAGTCAGTGTCCTGATACTTTTCCTAAAGTCAGTACTCTCCCTCCCTGGTACCCATGGCCTACAGGATGCTTTCCCACTTCTTAGCTGAGGCTAGCTCCTGAGCTCCAGTATCATTTTTTTTTTTAATTTTTTAATGTTTATTTATTTTTGAGAGAGAGAGAGAGCATGAGTGGAGGAGGGACAGAGAGAGAGGGAGACACAGAATCCAAAGCAGGCTCCAGGCTCTGAGCTGTCAGCACACAGCCCAACGTGGGACTCAAACTGATGGAGCCGAGATCATGACCTGACCCCAAACCAGACGCTTAACTGATTGAGCCACCCAGGCACCCCACTCCGGTCTTACTTTTCTGCAACTTTGCTCTGGGCCACACTGTGCTGAGACCCTCTCAGCAGCTCCAGAAAGTTGAGCTCTCTCTCTCTCTGACACAGGCCTTTGCACACAGTGATCTCTCTGCCTGATAGAGCCTGACCCCAGATAACTCTGATTCACCCTCCAGCTCTCTGCCTGTATGTCAATTGTCTCCAGGGAGTTTTCCTGGCACTTACATTTATTTATGTGTTTATTCACAATATAATACATCCATGATCCCACTATCCAAAGCCAGGCTCCTACAGTTCCCTGTGTGCTCCTTTCCTAGTACATCTTTTTGTCTCTGCAAAAACAAAACAAAACAAAACCCACTATCTGTATTGATATACATACACATATGCAGGCACTTGAAAAAAGTTATATGTATATGCCTAAACATCATCTTATGTAGTTTTATGTATTTGTTTTTTGAACTTTATTAAGGCTATACTCTTGGACTTGCTGTTTGGACTCAACAGGATTCATCCACACTGATGCATGCACCTGTAGTTCCTTCATTTTCATGGCTTATAATAGTTCTTTGGGTGGACAAACAATGCTAAACCATTCCTGACACTTGTAAAAGATGGTAAGGAAGACTTTGTTCAAGGGTGAGGGGGGCTTCTACAATGGGGTTTTGTTGTAGGGGAGAAAGATTAGGCTCAACTCAATACAAGGACAAGTGCGAATTTATAGGCAAGGAACTGGGTGGGGGTCAGTGGATAGAAAATTAGCACACATCAGGGGTGATGGGGATCCGTGCTACACCAACCCCACAGGGTTCTTGCTGAAGGCAGACTAGGGTGAGAGGTGAGGAATTTGTTCAGATACGGAGGGTGGTCAGATACCAGAGTGGGAGATTTTCACTAAACTGACTTAGCAAAATTCATTTTTCTTCCTTCTTCTTCTTCTTTTTAAATGCAGATACTACCTTGATTGCTAAACTGTGTCAGCCCAACTGTGTATTTAACCATAACTCAGAGTCTGTGAAAAGAGCATCTCAGTTTAGAAGTTTAGCTCTATGCTTGAACAGAGATAGGGCTCTTTTAATCAGATAGATTCTCAGTACCAATAATTTCTACTAGATTCAGAGCATCTTTTTAAAAAAGCTTTTTTTAAAATAACTGGTTTAAGGGACTACGTTACATCTACCACATTCCATTAACACATTTAATTTCTTTTCCGGACTCAATAACATGATTCTACAGAGCACAATCCAAAGTATTTAATGATGAGCCTTTTCAGGAACTCAGAAATGACCTGAAGTACTATTTAATATTGAGTATCAGTCTATGTGTACTGTATGCACTAAAAATATAAATAATTATTTATTTTAATGACTAAATGTTGAAGTTCATTTAGACAATATGGAAAAATAGATGCTCATACACTGAGAATACGATGGTAGATTTAATGTTAAAAGTAGTAAAATAGAGGAGCTCTTGGGTGGCTCAGTCACTTAGGTATCCAACTCTTGAACTCAAGTCTTGATCTCAGGGGTGTGAGTTCAAGCCCCGTGTTGGGCGTGAAGCCTACTAAGAAAGAAAGAAGAAAGAAAGAAAGAAAGAAAGAAAGAAAGAAAGAAAGAAAGAAAGAAAGGAGGGAGGGAGGAAGGAAGGAAGGAAGGAAGAAATAACATAGAACATGAGCACTCTCCTTGTTTATAACCATGGATGGAGATTTACGGGTTTTTTTTTCTCTTTTTTACCCCCTTTAGCATTTCTTCCCCTCCACCCACCCACCTGTGACAACCACCAGTCTATACTCTGTAAGCTTGGTTTATTTCTATTTCTATTTCTATTTTTATTTTTTTAGATTTTTATTTTTATTTTTAGATTTTTATTTTTTTAGATTCCACATATAAAAAAGATAATAGAATATTTGTCTTTCTTTGACTTATTTCACTTAGCATAATACCCTCAATGTCCATCCATGTTGTCATAAATGGCAAAATTTCTTTTTTTATGGCTGAATAATATCCCATTGTGTGTGTGTGTGTGTGTGTGTGTGTGTGTGTGTATATATATATATATATATATATATATATATATCAAAAATTTCTTTATCCATTTATTCATCAGTAGACACTTGGGTTGTTTCCATATCTTGACTGTTGTAAATAATGCTGCAGTGAACATGGAGTGCAGATATCTTGAGTTATTGTTTTCATTTTCTTCAGATAAATATCCAGAATTGGAATTCCTGAATCATGTGGTAATCCTAGTTTTAATTTTTTGAGGAACCTCCATAATGTTTTCCATACTGGCTACCCCAATTTATATTCCCACCAACAGTGCACAAGGGTTTTATTTTCTCCACATCCTTGCCAATACTACTATCTTTTCTTTTTTTAAAAATGCTTATTTATTGGGGTGCCTGAGTGGTTCAGTCAGTTAGGTGTCTGACATTGGCTCAGGTCATGATCTCGCTGCTCCTGAGTTCAAGCCCCAGGTCCAGCTCTGTGCTGAAGGCTCAGAGCCTGGATCCTGCTTCAGTTTCTGTCTCCGTCTCTCTGCCCCTTTCCGGCTTGCACTTTGTCTCTGTCTCTCTCTCTCAAACATAAAATTTAAAACAATGTTTATTTATTTCAGAGAGAGAGAGAACAGGGGAGGGGCAGAGTGGGAGGGAGAGAGAATTCCAAGCAGGCTCCACATGGTCAGTGCAAAGCCTGATATGGGGCTCGAACTTACAAACCATGAGATCATGACCTGGGCTGAAATTAAGAGTTGAACCCTCAACCAACTGAGCCATCCAGGTACCCCTCTTACCTTTTTTGTAATAGACATTCTAACAGGTGTGAGGTGATATCTCATTGTGGTTTTGATTGGCATTTTCCTGATGCTTGGTGGTGTTGAGCATCTTTTCATGTGCCTATTGGCATCTGTTTGTCATCTTTGGAAAAAGGTCTATCCAGATCTTCTGTTTCTTTTTTTTATTATTATAAAAATTTTTTATATTTTTATTTTTTAAACTTCTGCTTATTTTTTTAATACGATTGGTTTTTTAAATTTTCTTTCCATTAAGTTGAATGAATTCTTTATACATTTTGGATATTAGCCCCTTAGTAAATATGGGCTTTGCAAATATTTTCTACCATTCTGTAGGCTGTCTTTTCATTTTGTTGATGGTTTCCTTTCCTGTGCAGAAGTTTTTTAGTACGATGCAGTCCCATTTATTTATTTATATATTTGAGAGCAAGAGATGGGGTGGATGGCAGAGGGAGAGGGAGAGGGAGACCCTTAAGCAGGCTCCACACACAGTGCAGAGCCTGACATGGGGCTCAATTTCACAAAATGTGAGATCATGACCTGAGCCAAAATCAAGAGTTGGGCACTTAACTGGCTGCCCCACTCAGGCACCCCTGTTGCTTTTTACTTTTGATATCAGATTCAGAAAATCGCCACCAAGGCCTATGTCAAGGAGCTTACTGTCTGTATTTTCTTCTAGGAGTTTTATGGTTGCACATCTTATATACAAGTCTTTAATCCACTTTGAGTGA